AATGTCTAACTAATATTCTGTCATTTTTAGAATAATTGCGAAATGTGAAGTTGATATTAACTATGAGATTGTGTTTTCTTGTATATCCAGGCAATTAAAGATTAACGTCACGCGCCGGATACGTTTCAGGTTCGCGGAATATAATTTCCATTGTGTCCTTGGCTTACTCGATATGCGACTGTTTTTGAAATCGCTATGGAATACGAAATCAAAAGAGCGAAGGAGCACGCGCATAAAGTACTTGGGTCGATACTTTAAAGTTTCAGGAGCGGCGCACTGTTGTTTCGGCTCCTATGCATGACTGTGCCGTACAGGATAATAAATACAATCGGGAAATTATACCATTGCATTGGTCTATACAATCTTTCAGTTGACTTTCATTCTTCGAATTTTCGGTTTGACCATTTGAAATAATTCCATAAAAATGGAAAAATATTCCGCAAATTAAAACTTCCTTCATATTGAAATTGCATCTGAGATGATGCAATGTTCCGAGCCTGAAGACTGAATACCACAGTGGTCTTTAAATTTTAAAAGAAAATTAAGATAAAAGATGTAGATATCTAAGAATTTATCCAGAAAGCAGTAATAATTCAAAATTTAAGAATTTAAATATCAATGGAAGAATCTTCAGAAATTCGAAAGAAATTATAAATTTCAATATTTGCAAGTTCGATGATTCCAAGATTTAAGAATTGTATGATTACTCGCGTAAGTCCAAAGATTAAAGACATAAGATTTCGAGAATTTACCTAAATCTGCGAATTCAGGAATTCACGAGAGTTTAAGAATCTACATTTTATAATTAAAATAAATAGTATTCGAAGACTCAAGAAAGCAAGTGTCTTAAATGGAAACATGAGAACAGAGTTGCATATATCACGTGCAGCATATCATGTAAATCGTAGATGATGTAAATCGGAATGATTGCTCTGCATGTATCACGAGGAGATTTTCTTGCAGATACTAAGCAACCGACCGATGAGTATCACATATGATAGGAGTGACTTGGAAACTGATTGGCGCGACAGCGAATTTATCACCGAGTGTCTTTGCTGGCACAACGTTTATCGGCAACGGCATAACGCACCTCCGTTGACGATGTCACCGCAGGTAGTAAAACGAAAACTATAAAAGGCATGAAAATGGTCGAAAGCCATGTTATAAATTTAAACGATATTTATATTTAACGTATACTTATATACGATATTACTCAACGTGTTGCAGTTGTGCGAGTACGCTCAATCATGGGCAAATCATTTGGCGCATACGAACACGTTCTATTATAAAAATGATCGGAACGTAGGTCACAATCTTTATTGTCGTCCTGGTGGTGCGGTACCTGGCGATATCACGGGACAGGAAGTCGCGTCTTACTGGTATTCCGCTGTGAAGCAATACGATTTTCTCAAGGAACCGGATATTCTCCATGCCAATGTAAACGCAGGTAAAAAAGAGATTATAGTGTCTAGAATTAAGAAAGTTATCAACTACGATTTAGAGATGAAAGAAGATAAGTGTTATAATATTTGCTCTTTAATTTATTATATTATATTGTACGGGGTGGGGCAATAATTTTGTCCGCCTTGAATATCTCCGCTATTTTTAGAGATGAAAATATTGTAATTACAAAAATTGTACGGTATTAACAGGGCCCTAATATATGCTGGTAATAATTTTTTTAGGTCTTCAGAGATTTCAAGGTCACCTCCATGTTTTTAAATGTCATGCTTTACTTTTGTAATCTTAGTGTAAGTGCCGACCACATCGGGAAATATGAAGCAACGAATTATTGTAGCATATGCGACAATCAGTCCGGAAATGTTAAGAAGTGTATATGCTTCAGGAATTCAATTGCAGTGTTGCATTGATGTAAATGGACATTACTTCGAGCACTTTTTGTGACGTAAGAATTATTTACTTCTTCTTTCTTTATTTACTTCTTTATTTACTTCTTATTAAATTTTACCTTTTATTATAGGTCATTGAAATCGTCTAAACATCCGTTATTACACTAAGATTAAAAAAGTACAGCATGCATTAAAAAAAAAGAGGTGACCTTGAAATCTCTGAAGCGTTTCCACCTAGAAAAATTATTACCAGCATATATTAGAGTCCTCTTGATACTGTACAACTTTTGTAATTACAATATTTTCATATCTCTAAAAATAGCGGAAATGTTTAAGATGGACAAAGTTATTGCCCCATCCTTTATAATATTATATTCATAGATACATGCATGATATGAATTTTAATACATATCTAATTAATTTAACTTATGGAAAATGATTCAAAGAAGCATCTTTCTTTCTAGGTCACTTCACTCAATTAATATGGGCGAGAAGCTGTTACTTCGGGGTCGGTAAGGCATGCAGCAGAAGCGGCAAGGTGATCGTGGTAGCAAACTACGAGCCGGTGGGCAACGTGTCCGGTCAGTTTCAGAACAATGTATTTCCGCCGTTACCTGAGAATATGAACGTGATGCTATCACCATCCACTATTCGGATGCCGCGGGGACAGTACGAACTACTGAAATCCACGGCATCATCCTTGCCACCATCGTTACCGCTTCCGTTGTCAGATACCGCGTCAACCGCCAGCGATACTATATCCGTCAGCTCCGGCCAATAATACCATGACCGTGCAAAATGCCTTCTCTGTATTTGTGCACGATGGGCCGGACATTGAAGAGATTGAGAGAAAGATCGATTCTTTGCGTGCCGCGAATCAAAGATTTCCGACACATGACGAAACATGATGACCGATGTCTCTGTTGGTAAGAGCGTTTTAGAAGCTTTTCATTCATTTATTGATATATATCTCTTGGAAAGCTTTTGAAGTTTCTTAGAAGATAATGTAGCTAGAAATGCCAGTTCGATGATGTGTTAGCTCAATTGTCATCATAAATTCAAAATTGCAACAATATTGCAATTTTATATCAACTCAACCGTATTCAGTAATTTTCCACGGAAATATCGGCCATCAGGTTATATTGCTAGGTTTCAGCTACGCTTACAAAAGCAGTGATAATCAAAGTTATACCGAGCTTCGTCGTGATAGCTAATAATATGTAATATAAATCAAGCAGTACAATCTGCGATGTAATTATTGATAGTGGCGCAACTTTTTATTTGTTTACGCATCTTATAAAAAATAATTCTAATGCACTGCGTGTGTGTGTATGTATATACAGGGTGTCCCATTTTAAATAATGTATTAAGATTTCTCGAAAATGGTTATAAAGATACGAAAAAATGTTTCAAACAAAAATATGGAAATAAGACAAATAATAACTCTCGAGAATGTCGAATGTAAAAACAAAGAAGAGCTAATGAGAGTTTATTCATGGTACTTAGTGCGAAAATAAAAATCGTTTATTACCAATTCAAAAGTTGTCTTCGAGCCATCATCAGTATGTCTAAACATTTATTGTAATTTTCTCAGTCCTTCATGGCGAGAAGAGTGACGACTCAATCTCCTTATTCTATTAACAGAGATTGGCAAGTCTCGCCATGAAGGACTGAGAAAATTACAATAAATGTTTAGACATACTGATGGCTCGAAGGCAAGTCGAAACATCTAGTAAAATTAATTATATTCTTTTGAATTGATAATAAACGATTTTTATTCTCGCACTACATACCGCAAATAAACTCTCATTAGCTCTCTTCTTTGTTTTTACTTACATTTTAAAAGTTATATGGTTCGAAGAAGGTACCATTGATTTGACCTTGAGTGGCGTCGCCAAGGTCAGGTTAAGGCCACATCGTGTTTTTTTTTTATGGAATATTTTATTTTTTATAACAGACTCTAATAGCTGTTGTTAAGAGCTTTTCAAAGCACTGTAATAAAATTATTTTTCATTACGTATTTTTCGAGTTACAAAGCTTGAAAGTTACTGCCGGCATTACATTATACAAGATGTCTAACTGACGGTTAAAATCTCTTGAATGCTGTTCAGGATTATGTCTTGGATAACATTTGTCAAGATCAAAGCCATTAGAGGTTGTACTTTTTATTTTCATTTTTACATAAAAATGAATTTTTAGTGTGAAAATGAAAATAAGAGAAATAATCTCCAGTGATGTTGACAAATGTTATCTAAGACATGATCTTGAACAGCAAGAGGTTTTAGCCGTCGGTCGGATACCTTGTAATGCTAATGCTGGTGGTAACTTTCAAGCATCATAACTCAAAAAGTATTTAATGAAAAATATTTTCTTATAGCATTTTGGAAAGTTCTCGACATCAGCTATTAGATTCTGCCATCAAAAATAGGGTGCTCTATTAAAAAAAATTGATGTGACTTTGGTGACGTCATCTAAAGTCAAATCAATGGTATCTTCTTATGTCTCCCTCCGAACCATACAACTTTTGTTTGAAACATTTTTCCGTATCTACCATAGTTTTCGAGAAATCTTAATGCATTTATTTAAAATAAAGTATTTTTAGGATCCTATATAAATACATATATATATATAATATATATTAGGTGTTGGAATTAATTCGTAGCGTTTTTTAATGAAAGAATGTTATTTATTTCACATGAGCATTAAAAAATACATTAATGAAAGTACTTCCCATCACTTGTAAAACTATTTTTTATATATATAATATATATATAATATATATAATATATATATAATATATAATATATATAATATATAATATATAATATATATTATTGTAACCGTGCGCGCGAATGACGGCACAACTTCGTCGCGTGCTCTGTGATTTTTTATTACTAAAAGGAATTTTCATACGAGATAAGCATAGGATCTCGACAGACAGATAAATTCCCACAATTATTAGAGCTTTTCACTAAACAAGTTGAGTGCCAAGCACGAGAGAACGTGCCACTCTTTCGATAATTTTCGTCTACTTTCGTCTATTTTCGTAAAATTATTTGCTCCCAATTCGCGACGACAACAGGGGTGGGTCGAAAAGGTAGAGAAATTGTCAGAGGACGAGGGAAATACGTTACAAGAACCACACACAAATTAATAATGAAAGAAATAATAATAATATTTAATGAATCGAGTTACAATCAATATTTGCCGTCTTGCTCCCTAAATTGAATTTGACAAGATCTACTTCCGCGGACAATTATAACTTATTTCTAACGTCGATTCAACGATCATACTTTATATCTTAAGATCTTAACTTTTCGAACGATCACTTTCGGAAGTACAACGACTAAATATTCCTGACAAATCGACAGCGTACAATAATTCGTGTTCCGAGCAAAGAATGTTATTTATGAAGGTAACCTCGAATTCGAACGATAATCCGAGCACATGATACAGTTACAGCAATCGGTTCGGCACAGCACAAAAGATACAAAACAAGACGAAAAATGACTGTGGCAAGAGAGACGAGCACAGATCAGCAGCTAATAATTTTCTTAATGACAACGCTCGGATGAATGGCACGTGGCTTTCAATTCCCTGGATTTTAACGACGGTCATTATACCGGTCGTTTGCAACCACGCGAGTTCCCACGCGTGATCGAGGCTATGAATTCGGTGATGGGCAGCTTTATAATGGTGGCGACATTTGTCTCATTCAATATCCTCCTCTGGTCCTTGTCGCAATAATCCTGGATTGTGAACGTGGGAGCTCACTGCTTCTCGACAGCTTACTGCTTCTTGAATTTTCTCGACAGCGGAGAAGTTTGCATCCTTTCACAATCGATGCCGACTCAGCCACAGAATGAGTGTCGGCCGGGAGCTTTCCGCAGATTCCGTTCAGTCCCCCCTTAATTGGAGCCATACCACGCGCCGTTTGGCTCTTGTCAATTACACAACCTCGCGTATCGTATAAGTCCTTACGAGCCGCAAATCCTTGCATCTTAGAGCGCGCAATATAAATTTCCATGGACTCCTGCGTCGCTGGTAAAGCTCTTAAATTATTCGGGCACAGGATGTCCTGACAGCTCCTTCATCGGCTCCGTATCGGAGTATTTATCTCTCTGATTGGCATTTGCACTCATCTGGCGACCGGGAGTTTTCACCTTCCATTGCTCCATTCTGCGATATAACAAAGTTCGGGGCGGATTATAAAACAAATATATGAAATTCTACGATCTACATGCATATAAGGTCCTAAAAAAATTAGGAAATGGTCGAATATTTCGAAAATAAAGCATTTTTGAGAAAAATGTCTCATATAAAAATTGTAGGGTTTATATGATGTAGTTACTGATCTCGAGTAGCGTTATAAGATCAAGATTAGATCAAGATCATATTGATTTTTAAAAAATGGAACATCCTATTTTTTATTCCAGAATGTAATGCCGATGTCAAAAGCTTTTTAAAACACTATAAAATTAATTTTTATTAAGTACTTTTCGTCTTCCGATGGCTTAGCGTAATATTTTTTCTTCTTGGAGTTGTCGTAGAATATCCACTTCTCATCTTCAGTCACAATCCGATGCAAAAAACCTTTTCTTTGTTGTCTTTGAATCAGTTGTTCGCAAGTGAAAAATCGCCTTTCAACGTCTCTCAGTTTCAGTTCATAAGGCACCCAATTTCCTTGTTTTTGAATTATTCCCATGGCTCTCAATTGTGCAGAAACGTTGAGCTTGTTGAGTTACTCCCAATGATTCTGCAAACTCCTCTGATCTTCTTCGAGTAATGCCTCTAATTCTTTGTCTTCGAATTTTTGTGGCTGTCCAGAGCGAGGCTTGTCTTCAACGCTGAAATCTCCATCCTTGAAACGTCGAAACCATTCATTGATTTATCAGTTGGAGCAGTGTCACCATAAATTTCGACAAGCATTCGATGGGCTTCAGCTGCACTTTTCTTCCAATTAAAGCCGAAAATTAGAACCTCCCGTAAATGCTGCTTGATTAACACAAAATTCGACATTTCAAACACAGTAAAAATCAAGGTTTTTGTATGAAACTCAAAGCGATATAAACTGAATATTATTAGCAGATGTCTAACCTCTCTGAAAACGCTAAAATCAGCTGTCACTATAAACCATTCACAACAGCCGGAGCCATCTTTTAGAAAACGGAATTACGAACTAAATTGTACTCCCAATAGTATTACCCAACATGTCCGACCGATGACTAAAACCTCTTGAATCCTTTGAAACCTCTCGTTGTTCAGGATTACACCCTAAATAACATTTATTAAAATCAAGGCTATTAGAGATTATTCCTCTTATTTTTTTGCATTAAAAATTCATTTTTATGCAAAAATGAAAATAATATTATAATCTCCAATGGTCTTGATCTTGACTAATGTTATTTATAACATGATCCTGAACAACGAGATGTTTTAGTCAGTCGGACACCTTGCGTAATACTAATGCTGGCAGTATTGTAACTTTCAAGTCTTATACTCAAAAAGTATTTAATGAAAAATAAATTTATTACAGTGCTTTGAAAAGCTCTTGATATCGGTTATTATATTCTGGAATAAAAAGTAGGATGTTTCATTAAAAAAAATTAACATGAATTTGATCCGACATTGGCGACGCCATCCAAGGTCAAACTGATCAGATCAGTATCATTTATAACTCTTTCTTTGTTGAAGAGAAGGAAATCTTTATATATCCCGTGGAACCTAATCAGAGGACTCGATCCGCCTATATCCATAAATGGATTATACATACTACAAATCACCTATGCCACTAAAACTTCTTCTGTGCCTTGCCCGATCTTGTGAAAGGGGACGCCCTGGCATCATCGTAAGGTATTCTTCTGGAGCGCCCCTCATCGTGTTCGATGTACTTTTATTTATTGCGGCCTGTCTTTCGCTCCAATACCGGTTACAGTAATCTGGTGCGGGTGTCTGAAATTGTGGCGGTGGATGTTAACCACTATCAATTTCAACGTCTGCCAATCCAAGTGGCGGCGTAGGCTCATGGTCGTAGCCAATAGCTTGTCGTCTGTGCTCCGCTTCTTCCTTCTGCCACACACTTTCTTAGTGAATGTGACAAAAACAGCTTTCTTGATCCTTTAAGATTAACTCAAAGACTGTTCTCAACTCTAGTTCACCATTTATTCTATCCACTAAAGTTTGTCTATCCTCACTCTACATGGCACAATACATGTTCCGCGTCATCGCACTTGCTGTCACAGTGATGACACTTTTTTGTGTTTGTTTTCTTTATTCTGTTGAGATATTTCCCGAAGCAGTCCTGTTATCAACTGTGTTATGTGAAAAGCTTTCCATCTCTTCCGAATTATCTTCCGAAAGATCTTTTCCGAATTACTAGTTGATAATAGGATCGATCGCAGCACGAACTATATTTAAACCCTCCTTCAATTTTTCAAGCTCCTCTAAAGCCTGTTTTGTAAGGAGATTCTTCTCCGTTTGGCTTACTTGTATTCCTCTCTCCTTAACACATTCATATATTTTAACATATCTGTTAACGATCATATCTGGGGAATCTTGTCAGAAGGTGCGCTGCCTCCCCAGCTATTGTCCTGTACGCCAATAATTCTCACAGATACTGTCCTTAATATTGTATTCATTTTTCTGATTTTGTTTGCAACGACTCTTTCACCCTCGACGGTTTTCTGTATAATCTAGTCTCACTGGGTCCGTCCAGATTCGGAAGGATTCTATTTAAAGTAGCCACCAAGACTTCCGCTGTTAAAAAAAAAAACGCGCGTCAACGCCTAGCGAAAAAGCATTTTTTTTTGTAGAAAAAGGTGCCTTTCACTTTTCTCTTCTCCGTGCAGACTTTTTTCCCGATTTCATCTGCGGACAAGCGTCCTTTTTAAGTTACCTGTAGTTCTTTAATTCTAAATTATTATAAATTTCAACTTATAATCAACGAGTTGAGTTGTTAAACCTCTTGAAACGTATCTTGTCAAAGAGCCTTGCTCGTTTCGATAGTTCTTTCGATCCATTACCTAAAAAAAGAAGAGGCATCTGATTTCTTGTAAAAAGTTAACTTGCCTCTTATTTCTCTTTCTCTTTTTCTTGTAAGGTCTCATTATGTGAGTTTATGTTCGACAACCTACAAAACAATTTATATTAAAATCAAGTTTATATCTCTCTATTTCTTTTTTGTAAGGTTTCATTTTATTAGCTTGTGTTCAAGCCTACAAGATATTTTTATGAAAGTTCAGTTTCTCTTTTTCTTATAATGTCTCATTCTTAGTTTGTGTTCGAGCATACAAGATAATTACAAATTTTACTTAATTAAAGATTAATTATTTACCGAACTACTCACAACATGATTGACTGTTCCTCATCTCTCTAGTTGCTTTCATTTATGTAATTCACTTAAGATAATAAATAAATCTTTAATAACTTTATGTTCGCTCAATTAATTTAATCTCGAATTTAATTGATAATTTTTACCATGATAACAATAAATTAAGTAATTTATATTTTAGATACATCGGAGTTATATAGTCTTTCAAAACATCCGCTCTTCTTCCTATTCGTTTAAAATGCTCAACAAAAGTTAGCTTCGAATCTACGAAAATTCCTATCTCATATTAGGTCTGACCCGGATCTTCCAATACATTAATGTACTTATTCTCTCCCAATACATTAATGTACTTATTCCCAATTATCATTCCTCTACCGTAAAAAATTATTGCCTTTGTTTTACTTGGAGCTACTTTGAGACCCAATTTCCGGATTTTATCGGTGATAATGATAATATTATCTTGTGTCGAACAAATCGCGCCGTCGATTGTATCATCTTACACGATTAAGAGTGTATCATTCGCATAACATATTGTAGAGTATCCTTCCCCGAATTCGAGAATCCCGTCGAATCCCATATTCTACAACAGTGAACCCAAGACAGAACTCCGTGGAATTCCACACGTTATCATTTCGACAGTCTCTTCTTTATTATTAACATAGAAAAATTTTCTTTCGCTCAAGTACGCAGCAATTATCCTTTTTAAACAGATATTTAAAACATCACACGCATGCATAATGGTCGGCCACGGAATAGAGCTGAACGTGTTTGCAATGTCCAGACTGATCGCCACGATCCTTTCTATTTTCAATAGTTCTCTTTGCTATATCTTTGAATCTAATGGCAGCATCAGACCTGCCAGCCCTGAACTCGAATTGATTTCCGCAAGGTTAACTCCTGTATTAAGTTCGCTAACGATTCTATTATATATTTTCCTTTCAAATAATTTGCTCGTTATATTTATTAAGCAAATGAGCTTGTACAAGGTAGGCAGTTCGTCAGGTTTATTCTGCTTCTTTAAAAGGATCAACTCAGCAGTCTTCCACTCTGTTGGAAATCTACTACTTTCTAAATAAAGAAATACTGGATACTCCTACAACCAGTACCGAATACAACCAGTACAGTGCCAGTACCGAATTGAGGATCCCATCAAAGCTCGATGCCTTCTTATTTCTTTTAATTCTTATGTTACAATACTTACATTTTAAGGGACAGCATCATCGTCTCTTGTTATATACTTCATTCGGGAACAGTGTACTAACAGTTTCATTCTCATAACTTTCTCCTAACAATCTTTATAGGATTTTCCCCATGGATCCTTCTCGAAAATAACTCATTCTATGTTATTTGGCCTTTCTTATTTTTAATTTCTTTTACATATTCATTTATATTCCTTCTCTATCATACTGGCATCTATGCTGCTTCTCGTTTTCCTTACTTCGATCATAGCTCTTCTTAGACGATTACACTTATTATCACCCCATATGTCTTCTATTGTTCGTAGTGTTCCAACAGTATATATTTCTCCTGTTATATTTTTTCACTTTAGGCAACGAATAATTACAAGCGTCTCGTAATATCACTGAGTTTATTTAACAGCCAATGCTGGTTCCCAATTTGAATTTATGGACTATAATCTGGCCTCCACATATGCCAGCATTTTATCCATGCCACATGATTTAAAGTTCCATCTGGGAAAAGTAGATTTCGATGAGACTAAAACATTCAACTGTTCTCCACCATGTTCAGCCAAGATTATCTCTATATATAGATGTTCTGACAGAGTAACATTCTGACTGATTGTTCACCTTGGTACTCTGCCTCTAATGTTTCTATTAGTGAAACGTACATCCATAGATAATGAGCTTTGCATTCTTACATAGGTCGGAACCATCATTTAGTACTTCTAAATTCACATGTAAAGCATATTTGAATAGAACTTCGCCCTTTTTATTCGTGGTCTTGTCCCAAGCCATATGTCTGGCATTGAGGTCTCCACATAACACTACTATATTGATTCTATATTTGTATATGATTTCTATATTTGTATATGATCTCTAATTTTTTCAATAGAAGATTAAAATCCGTAAGTTTTCTATTCGTTGAGTAATAACAACCTATAATCACATAGTCATCATGATAGACAACAACGAAATCATCCTCTTTGTCAATAGTTATCCACCTTATATTAGGATCTATCG